GTCAATCGCTTAGAGGCATATTATGCAGACGAAATTATTGTCGATCACCACATTTTTTGTTGCTATCATGTAAGTTAAAAATTTTAAAGCATTAAATGCAATAACAATGTGCTGATCGACGATCATTTAATTGCCTGCATTATATGGCTTTTAGTGACCGTCCAATTTTATAAAATTTAGGTGAAATCAAGTATTTTAATAATGTATGTAGTAAAAAGTAATCCATTAATCCATTAAGCATGAAATTAAAAACTTATTTAGCATTGTTAGAATGATCCGATTTAGGCCAAATATGCGCCGTTTAGTTCGACAACTTGTTTCCATTTTGAACGTCATTATGTCTCTTTTATAGAAGTCTTCGTCTCTATTGACATAAATTTAAGTCAGTCGATTTTCACAAACCTTTCTTGAACCGCATTTTTTTACCAGAAAAATAAAGTAAAAATCAGAAAATAGACAGGACCCTAATCATTTCGTGCCAGGTCTGGACTATAAGGTGGATACATTAGAACTTTCCATTCAAGCTTTCGGACATCAATATGTGTGGCTTTGCGTTATCCTGATAGACCAGAATTCCCTCCTATAGCACAAATATGACCGTTCCAGGATAATTACTTTCTTCAGACGGTCCAATTATTGACAGTACAGTTCTTAGTTAAGAGTTTTGCCATAATGAAGCAGCTCATAGTAGATGATCCCTACTAATCCCATCAAACAAACAGCAAAACCTTTCTTGCCGTCAATCTTGGCATGGCCACCGTTCCAGTCAGTTCTCCACGATTCGACCACGATCTTTTTCGCTAGAATCCACTTTCGTAAGTGACCCACTTTTCATTACCAGTCACTAACCGCTTTAGAAATGGGTCGATTTTGTTGCGATTTAGCAGCGATTCGCGATCCTTCCACTGCGAAGATGTGGTCTAAGGTGACCGGATGATAAGATGCGACGACGAGTATTCGAGAAATTTCGTTAGTAAGACGATCACTAAGATTAGTGAGAACTGGGACGGTCTAAAGCTTAAACTTGTCCCTGCTGCGGAAATTCAATCAAGGCATCGAGTGCTTATTTGGTTGCCTAAAACCCTTGGCCCTCCGGACCTTATTCTGCAGCAACTGATGTTGCAAAAACCAAAGAACCACAAAAGCACAGCCAAAGCAACGAAGAATGAGTGCCAGTGATTAAAGATAATGATTGCAAAGTCCGATACGGCATTCGGAAGGCCAAAATCAAGTTTTTTAAAAATGCACCACCTTCTATGTGCATGTGTACACGACCGCTTCTATATGTGCAAAAAGATGTATGGTAAGATCTGGGGATTGCAGCCTAAATTGATTCTCTGGCTATACACAGCTGTCGTTCGGCCAATTTTTGAATACGGATCTCTGATGTGGTAGCCCTCGCTAAATAAACAATGCATTGTTCAAAGGTTTACCAGACCTCAAAGATCTACTTGTGTGGGCGCAACGGGGCATTGAGATCGTGTTGTTGCTTGATTGCTTTGGGACATGGTAACATTCCATCAATTTATCCGATTGATGGGAATAGTGGATAGAATTACTTATATCCTCGCTAACACTTTGACAATAACTTTGTTATCAGAACTCCTTCAAAAACAGAATAAGAGACAGGGCTGCTTACAACGCTAGGTAAGATGGCGATGTATACCGAAGAGTCTAAAATGGACGAAGACATTGGAACCGCAATCTTTTTCACAGACCTACGTATTAGTAAATCCTAAGAGCATGTTCTCTTACTTTAAAGATGGACTTTTGCGGAAATGAAGTCTATACTCTTACAGACAGTCAGGCAGCTATTAAAGCTTTATCAACGGTCTGTATTTCATTAGTGCAAGAATAGCTGCGTTTCAGCAAACATGATCCGCTCAATTTTACATGCAAAACAAAAACAATGGGGTGAACCAGCAATTGATCTGGTTCACTTTCTGGTTCAATGTGGAATGTATGTAAAAGATAAAAGTGGGACGTATTTTAATGCATATGAGGATGGCAATGCGATGCAACGGTGTAGTAAAATTATAAACAAATCTACATTTATATTTGTTTATTATTGATTTTATTTATTTATTATTTATTTTATGTATTTATTTATTTAATATGTCATTATTATTTATTTCTTTGTTTGAAGTAATGTTTTAATTATTACTATTACTATAAATTAAAATTAATTAAAATTATTACTTTAATTATTTACGTTTTATTATTATTAAAAATGTGTTGTTTGATAATTTATGAAAATCAATTAATTTGAAATGAATATATAAACATTAAGTTGAATACATTTATTTAATTAAAACAGAACAATACATAAGGAAACAGGCTCTCCAACATACACGTTTATAAAAAAACCATTGCAATCTGCTTGCAAGTTTAAGCTATATTCATGCTTCCTTTTGAAATAAGCCTAATTGCTAAGGTGAGGTGCATTTATTTTAACATGTGTGCTGCCAATCACGAACGGAAATTTTGCAATTGATATAAGCTAAACACTAGTTCTTTCAATTATTCTCCATACAGAAGCTTTTGTTATGCCAAAACAAATACCAAATTTGCGAAAAGTATTTATATTTGCCATATACCACAAAAATATGTAAATTTCCTTCATTGTTCTCGTTCAATTGTGACCACCACGGTTATTTTGTATTTGCTGATTGGATTTTATTAACAAATCTATTAATATATAAAACATAATTAATATATAGCAATTGTATTTTTTATGCGCAAATACCAATCAAATAATCTTTAACGGAAGAATTATTGATCGTTTCCATAAAATTTCCACTATATCTATGCTGATGCACTTCATCCCTTGAACTTAATATACTTGGACTAGTGTTTAAAAAGAAAATGGAGGAGTCAGTTTTGCTCGATAATTCTAATAAAATCTGCAATTTTCATTTATTTACTATAGAATTAAATTTATGTTTTTAAGTAAATACTAAATAAAAACTTACATTTCATACTTCAGACATTTCAACAGATTTTATTTATTTTCCATTTTTCAGATTTTTTGTATTCAAAATTTTCTCACTTATTTTTTTAGCGCCAAAATTATTCACTTAAATCAAAAAATTTTGTACACAAACCCAACTGGCATATTTCATGCGTTGCCAATTATTTTCAAACGTGATCCGTATCGTTTCAGCAAAGATGATTCAGATCATTGAGCGGATCATGTTTGCTGAAACGCAGCTAATGTAAACCATTTATTATCGCATTAACTGAGAGCTCTAAGGAAACTCTAGTTTGGGTTTCTGGGCACAATATCCGGCAAGAAATGAGAGCGCAGATGAGCTTGCTAGACTGAGTGCCTCTTTCATTCCCTGCCCCTGCCAGCTACAGTCGATGGTTGATTTATCACCATTTTTTGCGACAGATAAATAGTGAGGTGGCCCATACTGCCTTAGCAGTCGTGTTAAGGGCTACATAGTCTATTTATTCCAAATATAGAACATCTGACTAAATACACAGAAGCAAATTTAGGTTAATATCTGTCTTTACAGCTCACTGGACCATAGGACGGCATGGAGCTAGATTCGGCATACTCTGCACGTGTAACGCGTGTCCATCAACTTTTGAGGAAAGAACACGTGTTGTGTCTATGTCCAGGCCTGACCAGAACTCGGCTTAAGTTTTTAGGAGCCCCCTGCAACACATTCAGTGATATCTTCAGCACTAGCATTGGCGAGACTCTCGCCTTCATAAATATTTTTGACTAGTTCTAGCTTGACCACCTATTATCTTCCACCCATTATAACTGGGATTTGTAGATTTAAAACGGCTTTTTTAACTAGTTGAGGAATATTCGTTCCTCCCTCAACTTTAAATAACTAATTACCCTACGAGTATCTTATAGCAAGCTTGGGCGTCAACAAAGTAATTTGACAAACCTTATTGCTTTAAAATGACATTTAATTTGACATTTGATACGTTTTTATCAGATGTAATATAAATATAATATCACAGTAGTTCTACTATTATTATCACTCGTGGTGTTCGTACTCATATGTCTGGCAACACGAATATTATTATGTTAAACGAACATGTGTTTAAAAGGTGACATTTTTTTTTGTGAAGACAGTAAGAATGCTTCGGTTGAACACTGGGCCTTGGTGCGATATGCTAGATTTCGTTACAGAAATTTTAATGTTCAACATGCACCTGGCTCTGGTCGGCCACTTGAATGAGTTTGGAATCATTCAATAAAAACAGCCTACGCAAAGATGCTCGATGTTAATTACAATTAGTAAAACGCTGTTAAAATGGAATAATTTTTAAAGCAAATCATATGATAAAAAATGGATTCAATATGAGAATATCCAACACAAAAGATCTTGGTAAAAGGTTGATAAATTTCCACAAGCAACTTCAAAGCCTGAATTAATAGCAAACAAGGTTATGATGAGTGTTTGTGAATATTTAAAGAACATTGTCTATTATGACCAATTCCAGCCTGGTTAACGGTTAATTCGATCCTATCTTACACTCAACCGGGCTGAATTGACCAACAGAAAAAAGAGTTGTGCTTCAATTTTTGATGATACGGAACAAATTGACTGTCCTTGGTTGAAAAGTTTTGATGTGCCGGACCTTGCACCATTTAGCTACCACTGGAGTTCTACATCGATGGAATTATAAAACTACTCAAAAAATTAGCAGATGTTGTAAATAATAGTCAATACAAACATTTTTAAAATTAATTTTTAGCAAATAAATTTTTGTTCAAAATTATACCAAAAAAGGCGGGTACTTTTTATATCAGCCAATATAATATGAAATTAAATAAATATGAATACTTAGCAGGATTTTAAAAGACTTAATTTAATAATTATTAAATTATAATTAACCAAATTTTATTACTTTTCTATGGAGGGTGAAATTATTTTAAATAAAATAAAAAGTATTAACTACTAACAATTCATTTTAATTTATGAAACAAAATTAAGATAATAAAAAAAAATAATAAATATTATTAAACATACCTGTAATGCATGAGCTGCTTTACATTTAAGAATTGCTGGGCGATTTTTTACCACGAAGCTACTTTGAGGTTCTACCAAAAATATTGGAAAAATGTTACTCGCTTCAGCATCAAAACTTCCTGTGACAAAGTCGTCCAATGAGCTGTCAAAAACTTTTTCATTACTTTTTTTCATTTTAAACGTATCGTCATCCTCCACATTTGAAAATACGAGTTTTACAGTTTTATTTATTTTATCAGTTTCTTCTTCTATGATGAATGAATTGTTCAATGTAGTGGAAGGTTTCGTATATTGAACGCTTTTGTTTCTTGATTCTATATAAAAGTCACTTTCATTCTCATTGTTTTTATCTTTCGCTGACAGCACAGAAAAATATTTCTGAGCATTATTAAAACTAGTAGTGCTCTTATTTGACATTAAGGCATATTCTATAGTGACATTTGATAAATTCATTTCAACTAATGAGGGAAGTCCAATCAAAAGGATTTTGAAAAATACTTTTAAGAATACAAGTACTAAAATTCCTTTCTTTGTCGCCATGGTTAAATGAACAAATATATTCAGTTTCCTACGATGTTAAGAAATTATATTATTAACAATATAAATATAGTTTATTATATTTAAATATATATAAAAGTATACCTTTTAGTAAATTTATAATATTAAAAAATTGTACATAAATTATAATAAAAACATGCATATACCAACATAAATCTTTATTTTAAAATTGCAATTAAATATTATTTTACATTTTAATGTCAATTATGACGGCAGTAACTATTTTACTTAATAGAAACTACTGTATTTAATAGAGTAGTTTCGAGTAGTAGTGAACTACACCAAAATATTTTATTATTTTTAGTAATTTTGGCTGAGAACTACAGAGAAATCAATTTGGGGAACAGTGTTGCTAAGATTCTGATAGGAATTTTAAAGGAAAGTCCATCAAAAAGGGTTGGACATTATAACAAATTAAATAAATTTCAATCTGAAGTTGATAGGAAGCTTTTCGCGACTGTTAACATTTAAATCTTAATAATAATAGTACCACAAATTTAATAAATAAAAATAAAAGATCACTTTGGGTTATTAAAGTTCGAAACGACCTTCTATGGCTTATTGGAATTCAACAGCTAAGAGAAACTCTATCTTCTGTTCACTATGCAATTCAAATGATCTATAGCATTTAATGAGATGATGCTCAGTACTAAAAGAGTTTCGATGTGGATATTTTCAAAACCATACTGTGTGAATTAGTATTAAATGACTTAATAAACGATATATACACATAGGAAAGAAAAGGAAAAGATATTTAATTTTTTAGAAAAGGCAATAAGGTACAAAAGCTTTCATCTGAAGGAATTTATTTATACTAAAAATTTGGCAGACGAAACAATTTTTTGTTTTTAATTATTTAATAGGTACGCAAAAAGGACAGAATAATTCAGAATAAAATTGTTTAATTGTAAAGGAACAAATAAAATTGAAGGAGTTTGAGTAAACATATGTATACCTGGCAGTTGCTATTAGCTAGCACATTTCTAAGAGCCAGGAAATGATGTCACGTCTTTGATAATCCTTTATCGATAATAACTGACGATCGGATTATCAAATGAAATGCCATTAGCGAACAAGAAAAAAACATCGAGTCAAAAATTTAATTTTAATTGTTCGGCTAACGCTAAAATAAAGTACAAACTTTGTATCACAAGGTTCTAGCTGTAACCTTGAAACCCTTGTACTCTCTTAATCGCCATTAGATCACAGGCGCTGCACCTGCTTTCCTATTCATGTTTAGTATGAAGCTGTTTTTATATGTGTTTGGCGTTGTAAAAGAACGCTTTAACTTTAAATCTCAGTCTCTTACTTACATATTTCTAAGAACGCTAACTGCAATTTTTTATTTCGATTTTTAAAACTTTAGTCAGGTTTTTTTTACTTTTGAAAAAGGAATATTTCATATAACGGATAAAGTTCAGATTTCTGAATCCTTCAGCAGATATAGAGAACCAAGACATGACCGGTTCACCGCCATATTTTATAGATCAATGTTTTAGCCTTTCTTAGCTTTTAACTTCCGGCAAATCCATGTTGTTGTTTGATCGTATGTACTATTACAACTTAGAGGTTGAGATACTTCGTGAAGTAAGGAAATCATTTAATTACTCTCCTGCGTTACTATCCATAGTTTTCTGTTATTCTTATTTTCGAAGTTTGTTAAAATATATTAAATATATTTGTAGTTATCGGTTCCTAAAATTGTAAGGGAAAATAAAAAAAAATCCTTCACATTTATCAATAAAAAATGGACATTACGGCATTTAAAGAAATTTGAAAACATTTTATACATTTAAATAGCAACATGGTTTATAGTTTATCATTCAAACGTTTACTACTTCTTACACATAACTAATCAAGATATAATACAAAATCCGATTCTAAGCAGAGTACATTATACGTAAGCACAGTATATTGTTTGTCAGCCTGTATCACTCCAATTGTAGAGGCGACCATTTCACCAAATATCGTCGATATTTTAATTTTTTTTCAACTATTAAGTATTAAATTAATTTTTGTTGCCTATAATCATGTGTATAGACTACAACAAATGACATATTTATACACAAACAGAAATCAAAACAATATAAAAATATTAGTTATGAATGGCTCAGGTGTATATAAACACACATTAGCCCGCATACATAATATTAAACTTTATTCATATTTGGTACATCACAGCATGCAAAATTGACAAAACTTTTCAAATTCATTAATTAACTTACACATTCCATGTAAAAAAAATTTTATTTAATACTTTTGTTTTAACATTATTTTAGTACATACAAAACTATTCATTAATGAAATGCTGCATTTCGCTCATTCTAAACATTCTACAACGCTAATATTCAGATTCTCTCAGAAATATTTTGACACTAAATAAAGTTGCCAGAAAATCATGAAAGCATGTTTGAGTTTTTATAAGTTAAATGATATTTGCGACATATAAGAAATATACTAATTAGTTCATTTTCACCTAATATATATCATATTTTTATATCAATGTTGAAGTTATACTTAAATATTTCTGCAAAATCATTTCTTTTAAAAATTAAATAGAATTTTTGACTAGTTAATGAGTACAAGGTAAGTTATGTGTGTTCACCCCACATATCTCACATGTAGGGTGTAAACAAGTTGAATAAATGAGCCTAAATTAAATTAAAATTGCAAAGAATATTATAGAAGAAAAACTAAAAGTTATGCTATTAATAGATATATTTATATATGTGTATATATATTTATATTTATATGTATTTATATTTAAATAAAACAGTTCAAAAGCCGTAAGCTTTTAATGCTCTTAAAATCAGCTTCATGTACCAATAAATTCAGTACAAAAATAAATTAATTAATTCAGATACATATGATTAAAATTAATTTCGTCTTATTGTATTTAAATTAATTAATTCTTAGTACTTACAATTTTTATATTACATATTGTATATAACACAGCAAAAAACATATGTCAAAAATAAACATTTTTGATGGTATATTGAAAGAAATAAATTATTTTGGTATGACAGCAAATGTTGGTGTTAGGCAATAGGCAATGAATAAAATTGAATATTAAGTTATTTATTTGTTTATAATTCGATTTAAATTACATAGTTCTGTTTAAAATTCGGTTTTATATAATTATTATATATTGAAAAATTCTATTGTATCTGTATGTGTTATGTGTACGTTGGCGCGTATATTTGGAATATGTTAAAAAGTTGGTGTCACTACGGCGGCACAGTGTAGATAACTGACTACTGCTTGACAGTTGTTTAACTGTCATCACAAATTTGCCCTAAACGCAGGGTTGCATTTATTAATAATTTTCTTGAGTTACTAACAGTTGGTATTTACCAGAAGTGCAAAAAATTGCTAGGAAATTTCAATTTACTTTACCTCAATTTACTCGAACTCGCATACGGCCTTTATACAAATTAGTAGTGATGCCAATTTGTTTCAACCAGACTTGATGCTGTTTTTTTCAACTCTGAAAGAGTTCGGCTAAACTTCAAAAGCATCGACAATTTTGGTGGATAATAAATCGTTGACTCGTAACAAGGAAAGAAATAAATACATTGTAGCACGTTACTTAGTTTTTTTTCGCAGTTTTACGGTTTTACGGTTAAATTTTTCATATATATGAGCCCATTATCAATAAATCAGGTCATTTAAGACATAAAATGTCGAATGCAAATCTCCCACAAGGGAAATCACCAAAATTAAAATATGTTTTATATGTTTTATATGGAAAATGTAAACAAACAACAAGTGAGCTGTTAACAAAGGCACTGAGTAATTATTTAATCAAATCTTTGTTTCTATTAATTCAATATATAATTGATATATATAATGTATATAAGTGATTTAATATATCAATTACATACATAATTTTTTTGTGCTATATGTTAGGAAGTTGTTTATAAAAGTTGTGTCAGCTGCATAAATGAGCTCATTGTAATGTAAACGTTGGCTTATTAATATAAATGCCTAAATGAAACAGTGTGAATGTACTATAAGCAGCAAAGCCTGTCATTTCCCCCAGGTATTTTGAGTTCTTTCAATATTTTGCTCAAGTTAAAAATATCACCTATAAAAAGGTAGAAAAATAATTTAGCTAGAAATAACTTTTGAATGTTGATGCGTAAAAGCCAAAACTACTTTTAATATACAAACACATTTATTTTTATTTGTATGTTATAAATAATGTATTATATATGAAATTTATGAGATATATAATATAAAAATGTATATAATTTACAATTTTATAAATCTAAAAATATTATCAGGTCTATTCTTTTTGTAAGCACATAGCAAAAAAGAAACCTTATTTTTAAGAACTTATTTTAAAAATAACATCAACACTGTTGGGCCATATAATTCAACTTATTGGACACCGCTCAACTAATAAGGAGCTCAAATCGTATGATTGCCAAGAATAAAAATTCGTCTATTGTGAATGATTGTTGGAAGCACGTACAGAATTTCCAGTTAACTGTGAACATGTGTTTATGTTAAATTATTATTATTATCGTGTAGTTATTATTCGTGCAACTGCCATCCGATTCATACAGCAGTCCTGCGCCAGTTGCGGCAAGCCAGTCGTTCGCTTTTTGGAACTGCGGCTTTAGATGCCGTACCTTCCATAGTACAAGGTCTCACGTTGCATTCACTGTGGGTTTTCCAAAAATTTCTTATAAAAAAATTCAAAATTAAACAAATGAAAACATGCTAAGTGAATAAACCTCAAATTCTGTTTCCTCTTGCAAAAATTTTATTATTTGGAGCACTTCCCACTCCATTAACTTCCTGTGCGGTGAGAACTTAATGGTGGTTTCAGCCATTAATGTCAGGCATTTAGTGAGTGGCTTAGAAAGGCTAAAGAAGCAACTACGAAAGAACAGAGTATTTCAACAGCAATTCCGTTTACAAAGCAGATCGAGTTCGTAAACTCATCCGGCAATCCTAGTAGTCAAGTATCCAGTGTGTTACTATCATCATCGTTGTGGTGCAAGTACACGGAAGTGTGTCAATCCCTGTAGCACTTGACTCAACTCAAATTCCTTGTCAATCGCAGATATCTTCATCCTATCCGTTTCAATCATCGGCAGCATTTTCAAAACTTTTGTATGCAGCAAACGGATCCACAATACAAATACAAATATAACCTTTTCGGAAATAGGTTGATGATGTTAAATCAAGGTCTGCGACGGAAACTCTAGTGGGAGTTCGACATAGCTGGTGTCACCAAACCCATATTAAGAGACAACTTCTTAAAATATTACGGTCTAGTGGTAGACTTGTAGCGTAAACTCTCTAATCGGTCCATGTGTGCACCAGGCGACTTAACCAGCAAAGACTGCAAAGAGCGAACCGTGAGTTTCAATACATGTTAGACCAATGCGGATGCACACGTTCTAAAATCGAATGGGCCAGCCCATTAAATATGGCGGAAAAGAAAAACGGAACTTTAAAACGACACGTTTTCGTTCGTGGAAAATGCTGAGGTATACTCAGCCGTTGTCCAGGGGTCGTTGCAATATAATTTTTATTTTTTGAAATCAAAGACAATTTGGTGTAGTAATTCAATTCAATTAAATAGAAGAATTTTAAAAAAATGGGGTTTTACAATCTAATATAATTTTAATATAATTCTGGTTTACTAATTTGATGTCTATGTCATGTCATGTTTTGATCGTTGTATCCACGTGCCTGAAATATCGCTGTCAGACTACACTACTCGTGCTAATCTTGGTGTTTTGTCAGAAGACGTCGTTATGACTACCTTCATGACTACCTTGGCTTGATTTACATATAAGACTACTGGTCAAGATGTATGGTGACAACTTTGACACGATTTATATGTATAATCTACTAGTGAAGATGTATGCTACCTACCTTGACGTAATATATGACTACTAGTCAAGATGTATGTAACTACCTTAACTACGGTTCTATTGACTTGTTTCACAAAGATGTATACTACCTTTGAGAATTTCCCATCAAGTGATTTTGCTTGTACACTTCATGTTTATTTATACTCAAACGACCGAAGCTTTTGTGTAGCGCATCGGTATATTTACCATTGGTATTTTTGGTACTTGTTGTTTTTTGTTGCTGTCGTTATCCTGGATGTAATTTCTGTGCTTCCGTGCTTTGTATTATGTTCAATAACAGCTTTCATGCTTTGACGTTTCTTGTATTGTTTACAAAAGTGTTTTTTTTTTTAGTTAGTGTTGGTAGTGGTTGTTTTTTAATATTTATATTTATTTATTACTAAGTAATAAAAAATAATAGAGGGTTTTCGAATGGCAAAGAAAGGACAAACACAACAATTTATTTAATTTTATTGAAATTTGGCTGACCATACAACCCTTTAAATTTTAAATATAGCTTCGTTGTTACCATATAAAGAAAGCGCAGCTTTTTCAACAACTTCAATAAAAAATAATAAAATAAATATTGAACAATAATTGTGTACAGAAGCTGGTAACAGAAAATCAAAATGACAAAACGCCAATTAGTTGGACAGAAGAACCTGAATATGCACTCATCGGTTTTAAAAAAGCAGTTGCCGACACCTGTTGAGTCGCAAACCCTACAGCAGGGGCGAATCTTATACTACACGTCGACGCAAGCAATACCGCGATGGGAGATGCATTGCATCACATCCTCGAAAGACAACTCGAACTACTAGGGTTCTAGTAGTAGTACACTACTAGAACACACAACGGCGGTACAGCAGCTACGATAGAGAGCTGCTCGCAATATATCAATCAATAAAGTATTTCAAACATATGGTGAAAGACAGAAACTGTACGTTGGTAACCGATCATAAAACCATCATTTTCGCATTTCAACAAAATTCCGAAAAAGCATCGCCCAGACAACTTCGACATCTGGACTACTACAGACATCAGACACTTTCCTAGAAAAGACAACAGCGTAGCCGATTTTCTATCACGTGGCCACTATAGCTAAAATGGGTACACATACCTGATTTATCGAATCTCATTTCGTACGATTTCTCAACAAAACATGTGCGTCCTTAGATCACAAATGAGTACAGTAGACAAGTTTTTCTTACCATCCATAATATGGGTCATCTAGGCAGCAAGGCCACGGCAAAATTGATAAGTGAACGATTTATCTGACCAAACATAAAAATGGACGCAGGAAAAATTGCCTGCTGGTGGGCTGTCGCTATTCCCATTACAGTGTAGTATATCTACATATTAACAAACAAAATAATTATTTGTTAATGGTAATATGATGACATACGTTACTGGCACATGCCAAAAGCAAAGACATTGATCACACACTTACCATGTGAAAAAGCGCAAAAGAAA